TACTATCGTCTCGATTATCGTCCTTTGGTCCCAGCCTTTTCTTCGTCGCCTGCATCACAAAATTAACTAATGGATTAGCTAACACAATGATCTGCCTATGCTTACCGGTAACCCAGTTTTTAGGTCTAGCAAAAAATTGCTCGACGTGATAGGTGATGTTATCGTTTCCACGCCTATGTGAACATTGCTCCATTCGGTATTTCACAAACAAACACTGGCTTCTCCAACCTAATTGACTCAAATGTGTCGCGGTCTACCGATTTATACAGAATACACTTTATTCGGGTAGCAACTACTGTTGTCTTCAGCAGCGACTCTACCAGTGTGAACTGAAAACGTCCACACTATGATGATAGAGTTTGTTAGTCAACTAAACACCTTCGTCATCGGTGGAGTTGTGCCTCTTTACCGCACATCTGCGACGTCTGCTCCTATCCAGACCGCAGTCGAACAGTTGTGGCCGTGTTTTACAGAGAAGAATCGATGCGGTAGTGACACAACTTCTATCAAAATCGACAACCTCTTGCAAAGTGCTCACATTAGCAACGTGCATTGACTGCGGCGCTATGTAATGAGTGCTGAGCTTGTAGCGCAGAAACGTTTTGTGGTCATCACTGAACTCGCCGAGTGGCACGATGCGCATCAGGTACCCTACATCATCTTCTTTGGTGGTTGGAGAACAAACCTAAAATGACCACAATTAATTCTAGTTTTTGCAACATACAGTTAACGCTTGCCTTCACTTCCATAACATGTTCGTTCATTGAAAGCACCGTAGCTTGCAGTGCTAATCCGGCAGCTTCGTACTTGCGTTTCAGCAACGACTCCTCAAAACGCTCTGGGCCCATAAGATCCGCTATTGCCGAGAGGAGGTTGTTTTTACCGCTATGACTGATCAGACGATCACTAACTCGACCGCGGTTGACAGCTCAGTCAGAGCAGCTTCTACGCCCATAAGTAGCTGCGTTCTCACTTGTGAGAAAACGAAGTTATAGAGGATCCTAAAGCAGAAAGGGTATATTTAGCAAGCGAAATCGGAGAAAAAAAACTTTTTTCAAATTCTACTTACTCGGAAGTTTGGAACTCGAAAATTTTTGCCAAGTCGTGCATCTCCTTATTTCAAACTGCTCGTTCATCACTCGCTGATTCACGTCTTTTATCCATTATTATGAAAACAAAAAAATTGACAGAAGGCTGCTCACGTTATGTGGCTGCTCCTCCTCGCTGAGCCTGTGGATCAACCCCGTTGCTCCAGCATATACAAGCTTGCTGAGATCGATCCCCAATCCACTACCAACAACCGCTATACCAGGAAGAAAGTTCGCTTAGCTGCTAAATGGGATTTCTATAGAAACTCTAATTGCTCAGAAAAAACCCCTGAAAACTTACTTAAAATGCGGCATGATGCTCGCATATCTCTCAAACGCTTTTCGCACCTCTTTCGTATGCAACTTTACTGCCTCTCCTTTCACTGTTATATAGAACTAAATACCGTATTACTATAAAATTTGGGCGATTATCACCTGCTACTTTGCAAATCAGTACAAGCTCACCTCGCGCAGCGTCTCATCTAGCGTGTAATTGTTCATTAACGTTTCTTCAAACGACTTAAGCACCCCGTCAAACATCAAGCCATTTGTGTAGCTTGAATAATCTGAGAGTTAAAGTTTGACTACAATGCTAATCACCGCTTTTAGTTATCAATCTTAAGCTCAAACAGAATTAGCTAAAGATACGTACCTAGCAAGGCAGTTCCACATTCCCGACTATGTTCTGCTGCTCGTCGGACCACTTCTCCATGCAATCCGTTTGCATGGAGAACTTCTAATGTTTTGCTATTGAAGAACGGTAGTCCTGTGGCTGACGCAAAGTCTAGCTTAGAAGCATGGAATACGCCGAGAGAAGAGTGAATCAGCAGCACATGTAGCAAACAACCAAAGCCAAACATCTTTCTGCTCTGAAAGCGGACGAGGTGTGAAATCTGCTTTCAAGGCAACATGTGCTTGATCGGTCGAACAACGTGAAACGAAAAGAGAAAAATACAAAAAAAGGATAGAAGATAGAC